TAATTATTATATTTGCTTTATTAAAAATTACATATTAAAAATTATCATATTAAATATCTAATATTTACAGTATCTGTCTATTTACACCTACCATTCACATCTATTATTATCAACCATCCATTGTCATCTATCATCATCCATCATCCCATCCATTGTCTACTACCCATTGTCCACCATCTATCATTCACCATCATCCACCATCATCCACTCATCCAAACAATTTTAAAATCATCTACAAAAAGAAGAAGAAACAGATAGTTAATGGTTTCTTCAATAAAAAATTAAAGTTTCAAAAGTTTTTTGAAACTTACCCTGCTCATTAAATGAAAGCCCAAAAGAAAATCTACAAAAAAAGTAGAAACAGTTGGTTAGCCTGATAAATACGCATTTTAATAATCTGATCATGGCTAAAAAATCCTCAGATTGTACACAAATCAATAATACTTAACCCCATAAAATTTCTATGATGGCAAAGTCTTACCCCTGCATATATATTTTGGATTCTATTAGGCATATTTATTAATAACTTAATAATTTTCTCTTCAATAATAAATTAATTTCTATATAGTACCGATTATTAAGTTTTTCCTAAACTTGTAAGTTCTTGAAGATATGACATAACTCCTGAATCAGAAAAACTGATTTCAAGCCTACAGTATCACTTACGAAACCAAACCTGATTCAGAATTAATTATCAAATCCGTGTTAGAGCATTTCACATACTTGAAATTCCGAAAAGCTTTGGAGGGATTGATGATTATAATTTTGCATTTTCTCAGCCTCGGAATTATGGATTACATGGTGAATGGTATAGAAATGGAACAGAATATCGTCTTACAGCAGTTCAAGCAATAAATTCAAGTTCACGATTGAGCAGAAGATATTTGTGCAATGTAAGATTTTCGCATACAATAACATTTTTTTATTTACTACGATACTACATACGATTAATAAAGTAGATAGGCACAATTAATTTGCCAAATTCAGATATATAATGGAGTGAGTTATGAAGTGAAGCGAGTGTGTATGCCAATATATTTTTTATTGTAACGAGATCATTGATCCAGTACTTAATAATAAATGCACAGACGTGAATCATCACTTTGTCACACGTATCACAGGAATAAGTTTCTCGAATTTTTACGTATATTATTATTAAAAAAGGGCCCTTGATGATTCTTTACATATGGGTAGCGCCAAAGTTTTTTTATAATAATTTTAAGCGATTCCATTGATCAGATTTTCATGATGTGATTATATTAATATAATTTTCCCAAAAACGTATTCCAAAGTCGACCATGCGAATTATATAAAAGGTGATGTGCAAATAAACAAAATCAAGCGAAAAATTCAAACCAATCAAATTTACCATCATCATCAATATCAACAATCAAACGAACTCGTATAATGTTGGTTTGATTCTCGGCTTGATTCTAGATTCATGTCATCATGATACTAATCATTTTTTTTGGATTTATAATGTCAATTTTAAGGATATATTATCTTTCTTGATTCTTTTCTGCATATTTGATATTCGCAGAGAAATCGGGATGATGTCTCATCAAAGAAAAAATCACATGACTGTAATTTCAGCTGGGAATTTGGCGCAGTATCGTTCTAGCGATAAAAAAATTGACTAAAGTCAAGAGCAAAACAAATTATTTGAATTTGAAGCGGTATGGAATGTTGTGAAAATGAATCGTAGCAATAAGAAGGAAATATTGCATTGTTATTTCATTTACCTCAGTTGCTAATCTCCTGAATTTATAATTTAGGGTCGGATTATTTCATCTCGGGTATGTGCTCTTGTGGAAGCCAACTTGGTTAAATGAAATATTTTGTATGGTGTATATGGGTGGGAACAAAATTAGTTATGATAGGAAAGTAGATAGACGTATCACGTATGGATTGATAGAGAAATAATTTTGTTAGTTATAGATACAATATTCTCCGAAATGTGAGAGCAAAGAAATAACTTTATGCTAGGACTCACATTAAATGGTCTGGGATAAGCGTACTCCCTCATCATATATTTTATTTATATACAGCAGTATCTAAAAAATCAATAAAGTTTTACACGTATAAATATAAATTATATATATTTTTCTCTATGGCCCGTTCCTTTCAGTTAGCAAATGCATTCTTGACATAAAAAAGGCCAAGCCGACAAGTAATTGAGCGCATAATGCGCACTCTTGATGAATCACAACCTTTCAGCTATGAGATAACTGCAGTTCTCAAAATGTTGAACAAGTGCATTATCTTCTATATGCAAGTTAAACAGGTGCCCATGGAATAACCGCAGTTTTGGCCAACCTTGCAGTGGTTTACGTTATAGGGTCAAGAATCCTTTTGCTAGAATTCGATAAGAATAAAATCAAAATCCTATCAATACAAGTAATCAATATAATTATGAATCTGCAAAATACTTAAGATATTAAAAGAATAACTTATAGTGCTATATAGTATGCGCTTATAGTATAATTCTTGACAACCAAGCATGAGCCATAACTCGGAAAGTTATGGGATAACCACAGTTTCTCTGAATACTCGGTAGTTATACTGTCTTCTGTGAGAGAATCTAGTTACAAACTGGTCTTCTGATGAAAAATAACCGCAGTTTTTGCCAAATTTATGTCAGAGCACATCTTACAGGATACGATCTATTTTACAAAATGGACTGGAAGTAATAAAGAAAAATTTAGTTATATACGAAAGAAACATTTATTCATATCAATATGACTGCTAGATATGTTAGTTCTATCTAATGACGATATTATAGTCGCGGAGTGACATTATTTCATACAGGTATCTATCAGTAACTTTACAACACACAATAGTAAATTATGTATTAGTTATTTGATAGGGGGTTAGAATATCACAATATTTTAACACCCTTATCAACTGAAATAACTGTTATCCTGCAGCCGCTGATGATTATCTGAAAAAAATATCAATAATAATTATGCAATTATAGTTTATTTATAGCTTCAATAACTGTGTTATTATGCAGTCATGTTCTATTTAAAAAGCATAGTAAACAATAGGTATTTTACCTATAAAAATTAATGTGTTATATTTAATCTAAAGGCGTAATGCGTCAAAATTAACAAAGATATTTATGCATTAATAATTTATCTAAAAAATATCAGTATGTTAAAAACGACATGATCCTATTTGGCTGCATAATAACATAATGACAATAAATATCAAGAAAGTATTTAAACTAATATTTCTATCAAGTTGTCCCTATAAAAAGTTGAAAATTGGAATTTCTAAATTTGTATAGAAAACAATTTAAATACAGAAAATGGGCTAAACTATGAAATATTCTGTATTTTTGAAAAAGAGAATAATTTTACATTTTTATTCATACAAATGAAAATTTGATAGACAAATAGAGTAAAAATTGACAGTACTTGCAATTATTATTATTTTTCAGACAATACATACTGTACAATGATATTATCAATGTTGGAAAAATAACAATTAACAATTACTAAATATTTTAATAAAAAAAAGTTATTCCATTGTGATTGACTTGCGTACTCGCATTCCTGATTTGTCGATCATTTGAACCCGGTTTCAAATGATCAACACATAAGGAATGAGACTATTTCTGAAAAAATTTAGAGTATTTTATTAAATTGGTTTATCCAGGTAATTCATGTTATTACAGTAGCAAAAGCTAATTTTAACAATTAAAAACTATAAATAATTATAAATGAGAAATTTCTATATACATATAATATATTTATAATCAAATCACTATTATAAAATGAGAAATTATTCTATGTATATACTATATAACATAATTATAACCAAATCATCAATCTTCGTCCTATAATTAAATTTTATGCTATTATAAATTATATATTATTGTATAATCAGGTGTCTTCTTTATTTTATCAAAGATACATTCTCTATGTTTGATTTGTTTTGTTTCATATTTATTTATATTTTTTCCATAGTCATTTTTGAAGTAAGATTGTATGTTGATCCTGCATTCTTATTAGTACTTGTAAATCTATAAAATATCCCAACATTGTCCAATACCAATATTACTTATAAGGAATGGCTCTCATCACCTTAAAATTGATCATCATAACTACAAATTTAATGCAAATGTAGCGAATTTTCTTTTTTCAAAAAGAAGAATAATAAAAGATATTGATATTTCAAGATAAATTTTAAAAATTAAATCAAAAATGGAAAGTGAGACTAACTTTTTTCTTGCAAAAAGAGAAAATGATAAATTAAAAATAGGAAACAATTTCCATTTTTATCTTAAATAATTTTTGAATTTTTGTGCCACCTTTTTTTTATTATGAAAAGAGAAGAAAAATAATCTGAGAATTTTTGCGTCCAAATTGGGATTTGTGTTATTAAAAATGTTGAATCTAATCCATAAAAAATACTAAAAATACGCCCAATTTTCATTAATGCATTTCAGGATATGATCATCAATTCTATAAGCTACACAAACAAACAGTTTTTAAATAGGCACTTAAGCGCTTTCTTTTTCTTTCTTTCACTTCTTCTTTTGTATAAGCTCATTTCATTAACCTTTACATTTTTTTTCCAATTTCAAGATAATAATTTTATATAAATGTCATATCAAGACAATGATGATCAGTGTAATAAATGTGGCGAAAAATATGAGAGTAAATATGGTGCAAAGTATAAATGGTGTAAATCATGTCAAATAAATAATTTAAAAAAGAATTTTATAAATTGGACCAGCGATAATGAAAGAATTGATAATTTAATTCAAGAGATGCAATTAGAAATTAATGAAATAGATGATGTGATATTTGAATGGATACCATTTGATCAATTTAATAATATTAAAGAAATAGGTGAAGAAGGTCTTGATAAAGTATATTCAGCAATATGGAAAGATGGACCATTAAATTATGATGGATATAAAAATGAATATACAAGAAATCAACTGAATAAAAAAGTTGCTTTAAAATTATATAACTTACAAAATATCATTGATGAATTTTTTATTGATCAGCCAGATCAGGTAATAATAAAATTTCTTCGTAAACCTAATTGTTGTATCTTTTACTAATAATATTATTTTTTTTTATATATTAGGGTAAAAAATATTCAATATCATATATTGGTGAAGTTCTTAGAATGTATGGAATATCTCAATATCCAAATACAATGGATTATATCATTGTTTTTCAAGAAATATATTGTAAAAAATGTGGTAAGAAGTATACAAATATAATTAAAGAATGGTGTGAATCATGTCAAATAATTTATTTTAAAGAAAATTTGGTCAGCAGTGGAAATGAAAAAATTGATAATTTAATTCAAGTAATGCAATCAGGCGTCAATTGTGAATCAGCACGGGTACTTGAATGGATACCATACGATCAATTAAGTGATATCCATAAAATAAGTGAAGATGATATTGATATATTATATTCTGCAACGTGGAAGAATGGCCCATTATGCTATTATGATGGTGAATGGACAAGAAAATCAAATAAAGGGACTATTCTAAAATATTTATATAATTCACCAAATATTATTAATCTTTTAAATAAGGTATTCATTCTTTAATTATAAGTTTATTTGAAAATAATATTCTTTATTGATCGTTTTTATTTTAATAGATTACTTCATTTGATTGCAATAATATATATGGAGTATCACAAAATCCATATACGGAAGAATATATTATGATTTTTCCAAATATATATTGCAAAAAGTGTAATAAACAATATAAAATTGGATTTAATACAAATTATGAGTGGTGTAAATTATGTCAAATAAATAACTTAAGACAGAATTTTACAAACTGGTCCAGCGGAAATGAAAAAATTGATAGTTTAATTCAAGAAATACAATTAGAAATTAATGAATCATATGATATTATATTTGAATGGATATCATACAATAAGTTTAATAATATTAAAGAAAAAATTTTTATTAAAGAATATTCAGCAATATGGAAGGATGGTCCATTAAATTATGATAAAATAAAGAATAAATATACAAGAAATAAGCAGGATATAAAGGTTACCCTCAAGTTATATAGCTTTCAAAATATTACTAATGAATTTTTAAATAAGGTATGAGATTATTTTTATCTAATTTAATTTTAATTCGTTAATAATTAATTTTTTTACTCTAATAGTTTAAAGAAGATTTAAATAAATATCATGGTAAAATTTTTGGTATTTCTCAAAATCCATATACCAAAGATTTCATTATAGTTCTTCAAGATGAATATAATGGAAAATGCAATAAGTGTGATGAAGAGTATATAAGTGGATATTTTAGTTGGTGTAGACTATGTCACATTAATTATTTGGAAAAGTTTTTTATAAATCGGACCAGTGGAAATAAAAAAATTGATGATTTTATTCAAAATAAACGATCAAAAATTAGCTTTATGAATGATACAACAGTTGAGTTTATACCATATAATCACTTCAATAATATTAAAGAAATAAATAAAAATAGTTATGTTTCACAATATTCAGCAATATGGAAGAATGGTCCATTATATAATTACAATAAGAAGTGGATAAGAAAATCATATAAAAAAGTATATTTAGTATTATATTATTTACAAAATACTGATGAATTTTTAAATAAGGTATAATAAATTTCTTTAAAGTTGCTTAAACATATATATTTTTTATGTAATGTATTTTTATTCAATTTTTATAGGTTAAAAAATATTTATCAAGTAATGATAATCCAATATATGGAATATCTCAAAGTCAGGATACAAAATATTACATTATTGTTTTTCAATATAAATTATATTGTGCAAGGTGTGGTGAAGAATATATGGAATATTATATTAAAATTAAATATGAATGGTGTAAAAAATGTGAATCAGATAATTTAAAATTAAATTTTACAAACTGGACCAGCAAAAATAATGAAATTGATTGTTTAATCCAAAAAATGCAATTATTAAAAATTAGCAGTTTTGATACAGGATTTGAATGGATACCTTACAATCAGTTTAGTAATATTAAAAAGATAAATGATGATGATTTTACTAAAATGTATTCAGCAATATGGAAGAATGATTTTTATTATTGTGAATATTTTTATGAAAAGGAACATATAAAAAAGCTAAAATCAAAAGTTGTTTTAAAATATTCACAAAATATTACTTATGAGGTAATTTTTATAATTTTGATTCAAAATAAAACTTTTACTATTCTTAAATATGATAATTTTTAAATTTTAATAGGTTGAACATTCAAGTCATGAAACATATGGAATATCTCAAGATCCTATTACGAAAGAATATATTATGGTTATTAAAAATAAATATTGTGAGAAATGTAATGAAGAATACACAGACACTTTCAATAAGTGGTGTAAATCATGTCAAATAAATGATTTAAAAAAAAATTTTACCAATTGGACTAGTGGAAATATAACAATTGATAATTCAATTCAAATGATGCAATTAAAAATCGACTCCTGCTATGATAAAATATTTGAATGGATACCATATAATCAGTTTAGTAATATTAAAGAAATAGGTCAAGGCGGTTTTGCTACAATATATTCAGCAACATGGAATGATGGACCTTTATCTTATTATCAATGTGAATATATAAGAAATAAGAAAAAAGTTGCTTTAAAACAATTATACAATTCAGAAAACATTTCTATTGAATTTTTAAATGAGGTATGAATTTTTTCTTTCATTTAATTTATAACTTCTAATAATTTATTAGTAACAATTATTATATTATAACAGGTTAAAGGATATGCTATTGGAAATTGGGAGAAAATTCTTTTAATACATGGAATATCTCAAAATCCTGATACAAAAAATTATGTTATGGTTCTTGATTATGCGGAAGGTGGAAATTTATATAATTGGGTAAACAAATATTATAATAAACTTGATTGGTCATATAATATTAAAGCATTGTTAAATATTATGAGAGGTCTTAAAAAAGTTCACCAAGAAAATATGGTTCATCGTGATTTTCATACAGGAAATATATTATCAATGAATACTAATTTAGATAATTACTATATTTCAATGTGTATATCGGATATGGGATTATGTGGAGATGTTAGTAATACTGACCAAAATAATATTTATGGAGTTATGCCTTATGTAGCTCCTGAAGTGTTGAGAGGAAATCCTTATACTCAAGCGGCGGATATATACAGCTTTGGTATGATTATGTATTATGTAGCAACTGGCAGGCAACCTTTTTGCAATCGTGCGCATGATGAAACTTTAGTGTTAGATATCTGTGAAGGAATTAGGCCTGAAATAAACGAACTAGAAGCACCAAAATGTTTTATTGATTTAATGAAGAAATGTTGGGATTCAAATCCAAACAACCGACCAGAAGCAACTAAAATAGAAAAATCAATTAAGTTATTTTATGATTCCTATAGCTCCGATTTTGAAAGTGAAATAGAAAAATTAATTTATTATTCCTATAGCTCCGATTTGGAAAGTGCAAATGAAGAGTTGCTACATTATGATATTAATGAGCAATTCAAGAAAGCAGGAGAATACAAAGAATCGAATTTCTTATTTTTAGAGGAAAAAAGACAATCGGCAACTCATCCACAAGCTGTTTATACATCTCGATTACTTAATCCCTTTACAAAAGATCTTCCAAAATATGATGAATGTTTAGATTGTGAAATTATTTCAGTTAAATTAAAATGAGTTGAAAATAAATTAGGTAAAGAAAATTTAATGTTCTTAATATGTATGATGACTTAAACTGACTCGGCATTTATCAGTATTATTCTATTTTATTCTTATAAATTTATATATTTGATTTGTTCAACACTGATTATAGAGTATCATGTATTCATGTAAACTTTCTTTTATAAATAAATCAGTTTGTAATTGAGCAAATAATTTTTTTTATAAATAAAATCAAATAAAATATAAAATTTCCAATTTATAATATCATTATGAAAAAATGTAATTCGTTAACGTGTGACGGAATTTATACTTTAAACATATTAATGCCTTCTGATGAAAAAAATTAAATAAATATATATATTAAAAATAAATATTGTATAATCACTGAAAAAGAAGATAATTATTTACTAATGTACGATAAATAGCTCAATGTTTTTTGCTCAAAGTAATATTCTTGTATGAAAATAAGAGATATTGAAAATATTATTTTGTCCATATAGCATATGTTATTAAATAATATAAAAGAATAGACAAATTTTATCAGTTAACTCATGATCGAAAATTAAAAACAAAAGCAAAATAATGATAATTGAAAAAGTTAAAAAAAAGATTTATTTAAATAACAAACTAAGAATTTGTAAAATATTTACTACTCTATCACTAGTGTTTTAATAATTCTAAAAAGAGAATACATGTATTTAATATTTGGATAAAATATAAAGGAATTATTTAAATTACAAACTAAGAATCTTTAAAATATCTTACTACTCTAGTCTTAGTTAGTGTTTAAATAAATCAAAAAAGAATAAAATAAAGAACAATTTTATTGAATATATGATATCAAATATCATTTAAAAAAACTATAAACTACAAATAATTAGTTAATTTTTATCTGTTTTAATATCTAAATAATTAAATAAATGAAATTAATTTCATGTAAATAATTTGCAAAATTAATTTATTTTATATCATACTATATTACACACCTAATGATCCAAATTAACCATATATTCACCTAAATCTTCACTTACTAGCATTTCACTTTCAAGATTTTCATTCAATTTTGTACTAGTAAAATTTGTATAAAAAGCCTGTGGATGTGATTGCATAATAGAAGTATTTGCTTATTCTTGTACTAAAGTTTTGTTTGCTTCTACAAATTCAATCATATCACCTTCTAATTGATTATCAATATTAGGTACCACAAAGTTATATATTCCTTCACTGTTTCTTTTATAATATTCATTAATACATCTAATCCATTCAGATACAATATTTTCAAGCATTCTTATGGTTGGTCTATTGGAGAGATTTGAATCCCAACATTTTTTCATTAAATCTATATAACATTTTGGAGTATTTTTTATAATTTCAGGACGTTGTCCTTTACTAATATCCAAGCAAAGGTGATGATCATGCGCTTCATGATAAAATGGAGGAGTACCTGATGTAAATTCCCACATTATCATTGAAAGACTATAAATATCACTTGCTGGGGTATAGGGTTTGTTTCTTAATATTTCAGGATCCATATAAGGTAAAACTCCATAAATTTACTTAACCTTATTACCAGAATCACTTATAGGTTTACATAGTCCTAAATCAATAATAAATAATTCATTGTGATTATCTGAAATTAAAACATTACCATCATGAAAATCACCATGAGTTAAATTTGATTCATTACTTTAAGTCCTAATATAATTGTTTTCAATAATTGTAACTTGTCTTGCCACTTAAATTTAATTATATCAGACAAACATTTTCTTAAGCTTCCTTTTTTTGCATAACTCATTACTATTATATAATTAAAATTATTTGGATCTTGAGTAATTCCAAAGAATTGAATAAATTTTGAAAATGATTTTTTTGACAATTATAATGATATTTCCACTATATATAAGATAAAAAATTATTAAATTTTTTGCAAAAGAAAATAAAATTTGCTATTAAAATAAATACTATACCTCATTCAGAAATTTACTATTCAAATTTGATGAATTATTAAGTGTTTTGAGAATAACCTCATACTCTGTTTGTCTATACCATTGTTGTTTGTCAAAGTCCCAACTATAAAGAGGTCCATCTAACCAGATAGCTTTATGGATTTCACCAAATCCTCCTTTATCATAATAATCAATACTTGACAATTTATTATAAGGTATCCATTCTAAAATTTCATAACTATTTTTAGCAGTTAGTTGTGCTTCTTGAATAAATTTATCGATAAATTCATTTTTACTAGTCCACTTTGAAAAATCTTGTTGAAATCGTCTAGTATTACATTGTTGACGCCACAGATAATCAGTATATGGTTGCTTGCATTCATTACATGATTTAACTTCACTTTTAGGATTTACTTTACCATTGTCTGCTGCTTTTTTATACCAATAAAAGGCTTTTTCTAAATTCTTTTCTGTTCCTTTTCCATTATAATAACTATTAGCTAAATCAAACATTGCTTCCTCATCACCATTTTCTGCTTTTTTTGATACAACTGTAAGGCTTTTTCTAAATTCTTTTCTGTTCCTTTTCCATTATAATAACTATTAGCTAAATCAAACATTGCTTCCTCATCACCATTTTCTGCTTTTTTTGATACAGTTAACTGTAAGGCTTTTTCTAAATTCTTTTCTGTTCCTTCTCCATTATTATAGCGCATAGCTAAACTATTCATTTCTTCAATATGATCTTTTTCTGCTGCTTTTTGATACCAATGAAAGGCTTTTTCTAAATCCTTTTCTGTCCTTCTCCATCTCTATATCTATTGGCAAAATTAAACATTGCTACTTTATCCCCATTTTCTGCTGATCTTTCTAAACATTCTTTACACCCCAATTCTTCAGTAAATGGTTTACAACAATTTTTGGTATTTATTGTATCAGTATCTTTATCTGAGATATTTAAATTACTAAGTTTAGTTTCCATTTGATTATTTTAGAAATTTATTTTATCGAAAAAAAATTTATTTTGTTTTTTATTCAATATGCCATGAATGAGTTGCTAAAAAGAAATATTTAACCAAAAGTAGAAGTTACAATAAAAATGAATTTTTTTCGGGTCATTTTTTCCGATGCACTGATCTACATCAACAAATAAGCACTAAAATCAGTCGACAAAAATGAATATCGACCATGTGACTCATCGTACCAATTTGATTCGCCGATCAGATAATCGAACGGTTTATAAAACCGTTATTCTTTCTCAAACCATTTAAAAAAAATAGTTTCGTCTGTCCAATTTTGAATATCTTTTTTTTTAATTTGAAGAGGGCTACAAAATAGCTTGAAGATCGTCAAAGTACAATTACTGGATTATGAGATAATGCTTTTTTAAATTCTTTTCAATTTTATATTAATTAGTAATAGTAAATTTCATATTTTAATAGGTTTAGATGGTCAAAGAATCATAATTTATGGAGGAATTCATACTTATCCCGGATATTTAGATACCACACTTTACGTATTAGATTTAAATAATTATGATTGATATATTCCAAAAATTTCTGGAAAAATCCCAAAGCCTAGAGCTTATCATAAAGCAAATTTAATTGGAAAATATATGGTTATATCATTTGGTAAATATAATAATTTATATTCTGCTCAAGTTACTTTAATTGATAATTATTAATTTAATAGGTCGGGGTTATGATAAAACAGTTGAAAGTGATATATTATTGCTTGATATTAGTAATAATTATGAATATATATGGACGACAACATTTGATCAAAAAATGCCATCCTCACCGCCATCACCATCATCATCATCATCATCACTACCTTCGTTATCACCTTCACCTTCACCTTCATCTCTATCATCACCATCTAATAATTCAGGAAAAATAGCTGGTGCAGTTGTGGGATCTTTATTAAGTGGTATATTATTATTAGTCGGAAGTTTCTTGATATATATGATAAAGGGAATAAAAATAAGCAAAAACAAAAAACTATTTATGAAAATGAAAATGATAATGATCATAGTCAAGAAGAAAAGGAACTTTCCACCATAAGAGATATTCGTAATTATGAACAAGAGATCAATAATATATAATGAGCAAGAAATTATTCAAATTAATCAAATACCTAGAAATGAAAATACGTCCAACCATGAACCAATAATAATTCCACCTCCAATTATTAATAAAAATAATTATCATAACAGATAAGCAAGAAATTATTCTATCATCCGAAAATGAAAATACAACAAACCATGAACCAATAATAATTTCAGTCAATGATTATCATGGGCAAGAAATTGTGCGAACGCCTCCAAAATGAAAATACAACTAGTAATCACAAACCAATAATTCCAGAATCGGCAGTAATTAATACTAATAATTATAATTATGGAATTTCAACACCTAATAATAATAATAGGATATCATCCCAATTTTTAAAAGATGAAATTATTCAAGTTATTAAACAAGAAATTGGCCAAAATTTGAAAAATGAAATACTTCGAGCTGTTGAAGAGGAGAGGAGAATTAATAAATAATAATACAAGATTAAATTAATCGATTTTAATTTATTATATTTAATAATATATTTCGCATCATCTCGAAGGCAAGTCACTACCTCGCTCTTTTTTAAATTATTTTACATAAAAGAATTTTTACATTGACTTGTACAAAAATTACAAAAATTTTATTATAACTTAAGCCAAATTTATGGTTTCTAATTTCAACATTATGTACAACGTCTCTAGTAAGTTATGATTATTTAGTTCTTCAAAAATAAAATTTCATTATAAATAAAATCTTACCGTAAATATGCCTGATTATTTGCATAGAAAATAAATAGATCTTTATAAACAACCGGTAAATTTTGTGACTGATTAATATTTCGATGGAATAGTAATAGATTTTGCTCTTAGTTTTTTTTTTTTTTTT